AGCGACTTCGCATGCTAGTGTTGCGACGCTGTCACTTTGTGCGATGCTTAAGCCGCATTACACCGCATGTGAAAATGCTTGCTAAGCCATGCAAAAGGACTGTAACGCGTCATGATAAAGTCCGTAGCGGACAACACGTGGGTCAATCTCTGTTGGGTATAGGAAAACTACAGCAAAAATAGAAATTTCAAGATACAAGGAAAAAAGGAGGAACCTTTCAAGCTCTTGTCGTCTCTGTCTCCAGCACGGATATGTCTTTGGAGTCCATCACGCGTGTAGGTCTTCCTTTCTCTTTACGATAATTAATAAAGTGAAACATTCACGAATACAAATTAATTAGAAAAAATACCTGGAAAACTGTATGATGTTCTCTGTACATATGTGACAGTATGTCAGCTGATGAACACTTGACATATGATGCCGCAAAGCAACAAAAGTAGGAAATTCTAATCTTTCACCATTGCTTAAAAAACAACAATCAATGGGTATAAACTAGACGACCACAAATGTAAACTACCTTCTGCATAACTTGCAAACATGAGCGAGGTATTTTTCATAACGAGTGATAGCGTCACCGTTCTCAAATCGCAATCCAAATCTATCCTCATCAGGATGACTTGAGGATGGCAGCGAAAGCGAAACATTGCTGAGACTGCTCGATACAAAAATAAAGCATAACTGAAAAATCATAAGTAAAATACATGGCAATAAAAAACAAAGCATGTATCTCCTTGAGAAATTGAGAAGACTACTATGGGGAAGAATTAAATCCTCTAAAAAGCGGCAGATCATAAAAATAACTTCAATCACTTCAGTGCAAAATTTTGTTCTAAGCGGAACCCACCGTCTCCATTTCCGTCCTGCAAACGGGACACTGACGATTATTTGAGAGAACTCTTATCCGAATCGCACATTCCATACAAACGGGATGACGACACGACCCGATACCAAAGAGATCACTTGCCTTGCAACAAATTGTGCACTCTTCTGTTTCGCTCTTACTAATGGCAATGTCGGCAAAATTGTCCTGCAAAATACCGGAAATTAATAGAGAATAAATGAACCAAATGTGAAGAAGAACCTTTGCAGCGTCAATCATGCTCTCATATTTCTGCATGTTCACATTTCGATATTGAAGATTCTGACCTCGTTCTTCTCGACTAAGATGGGAATCTCTAGAAGACTCGCCTGAATTGGAAGAGAGCCAATTTGCGGGTTGATTCAAGATGAAAGTAAAATGTCTAATATTCTGCATTAAATTGCTCCACTCTCCTTCAAAAAAGCCAGATGGCTTGAATC